TCAGGTGTGATAATGACCTTGAGATTGGTTTAGAGGCACACTGCAAGAGGGTTAGTATTTGGTTTAAACTGTTATAACAATAATAATAATGGAAGGGGGAAGAGGATGAAGCAAGGGAGGCAAAATCTTACAAGTTCTGAATCTGGCTGATGGGTAAAGGAGCATCTGTTACACTGTTCTCTTTATTTTTGTGTATGTTTAAAATTTTCATGATTTAAAAAGAAATAAAATGATCACATAAAACTGTATTTTTTGGTCTGAAATGATGTCCGCAAGATATTTTTAAGCGAAAGGAGAAACATTTCAAGCAGCATATATGGCAATATCACATTTCTGGTTAAAAAAAATATGTATGTATTTTTATATGCAGAGGAAAAAGGACGGAAGTACACACACCAGAATGTTAATGGTGGCTATTTCTGGATGGAAGGAGTTGAGTAATTTCCATTCTCTTCTTTATATTTTGTAATAGTTTCTCATTTTATTTTGGCAATAACCATACATTACTTTTATGCTCATAAAAAAGCCAGTAAAGAAAATTTGGAAATCACCTGGATTTTTTAATATACCATGCTTTGCAGAAGGAGGTTTTACACATCTCAAACTACACACGATAATAGGTAAGGTTGATGCTGTCATCCCCATTTGATAACAGGGAAGCTGGTGCTGGCCATCAGAGAGGGTGAGTGCCTTGCCTACAGACACACAGCAGCAATTCTAATTCCATTCTCCTGACGTGAAACCATTGCTTTTTCCACTAAACCCCAGACGCTTCTAGAGGACCAATAAGGAGTATCCGATGTGGTTCTTGCCTGCTACGAACCGACACTGTCTTTGCTCTCCTAGTCGCTTGCCACCATGCTCCATTCTGGAGTCACCCCCTCTGTCCCTCGGACAGTTACATAATGGCTTCCACAAAAATGCACTTTCTCCCCCGTCACATCACAGGTAAAACTCAGACACTGGCTGTTCGATACTTTCTCCTAATGAATCTTCCCAGTCCTCTTGCCTTTTTAGGATGGAAACGAGCTCTTCTTTACTGGCCTCTGCACATTGATCAGCTCTGTTTACTGGCAGAGCAAGAGCGAGCGGGCATTGTATACATAAATATCATAAAATCCACCGAGGGCTGGCAAGCCCAAGTTCTTAATCCTGGCTCCATCACTAACAATTTGCAACCCAAAGAAGTCCCTCTCTCTGTGTTTTCTGTCTCTAAAGTAAATAAAGGGTAACGTGTTAAAAAAAAAAAAAAATCAGTTGGTGTTCTGAGGAAAAGGGTGGGGTGGGGGAGAAGGCAATTCTAAATTGGGCTGAAAATACAAAGTTTTTGTTAATGCTGGAGATGGGTGAAGCCTTGTCTCCACATCTTCCCCATCAGCTCTCGGCCAGAATACTGGGACGTCTCTGAACTGGTCTCCTTAATCTCCAAGCACCTCCTCTCCCACTGCCTCCACCGATTTCCCCCCAGGCTGATCTTTCTAGAGCAGAAATCCAGGTGAGTCACCTCTGTTAAAACCCTTAAAGCTTCCCATTTCCTTCTGGAAAAAGTCCAACTTCTCTGGTCTATGTACCAAAACCTCCATGCTCTTGTTTTGCCTTCTCTCCAACCTCTCACCAGCTGGGTACCCCTCACTCCTTACCCAGTGCTTAACGCACAGTTCCTCAAGGGGGACCCTGCTTCATGCCTCAGGGCCTTTGCACGTGTGGTTCCCTTTGTCTGGAATGCTTTTCCCTGGTTGACACTGGGTGTTTCCCTGCGAGGTCCCTGGAAACCCTTCTTGCCTGTGAGACTTGAGCTCCTTCATGGCACAGCTTCAGCCATCCCGATATGCAGCAGGGCCCTGTGCCGAGATGGACCCAGGGATGGGACTGGCAGGTGCAAAACCAAAAGCTTCTCTCAAAACCAAAAACTCCTCCAAGAGATCTGGGTTAGCATGATTCTCAGCTCCCATCCTGGGCTCCACTGAATCTGCTCTGACTGCCATCCCAGTTTGGGACAGGAAAATTTTAATTTGCAATATACCATTTTAAAATACACATTTTAGCACCAGAATGCATGTATTTTAGCTACAGCAGGTAGCTCCCTGCTCTCTGAGTCTCCTCGCAGATGACCATCTAACCAAGGCAACTTTCCCAGTCATGGAAAACTAAGGGCTGGTGCTCATGGCAAAAACAGTGTCAGGGTGAACCACTGGGCCCAGGACACCGCCCTGGGGCTGCCTCACATGCCATCCACACCTGAATGAGGAACTCTTCTGGGGTGGGACCCCAGCAAAGAACACAGCCTGGAAAGTGCCTGAGGGCCCATGTTGGAACTGGGGTCTAGATTTCTAAGCGACCACTCCAAAACACGACGGGCCCCGCTGTGTTCCCACACTCCCACTCACCGAGGCTTCTCTGCCCTCTTGGTGGGTGAACCCAAGTGATGCCAGCAGGCAGCAAAAGGTACCGCAGAAGGGTTGGCTTCACAGAGCCAGGGAGTAAACAGAAAGAGGCCAGGCCCCTGCCTCAGACCATTCCTCGCAGAAAGAAGGAAACCGTGGAGCACAGGGAATGTCCCAAAGACAGCGGGAGAAGCGCTCAGCTCCTGTTCTCGTCCACAGCAGTGGGGGACCCTGGCGCCCACGCTTTTGGGGTTCCACTGGGGTTTAGAAGTGAAGTGTTGGCTCATCTTTCTCTTCTATGGCTTGTAGGTGATTCTAGGGCAGGGACTGCGTCCCATCCATCTCCAGATCCCCCAAAAGTCCATGCACACAGCTCAGACCCAGTGCCAGCCGCCAGGTAAAGAAAGTGGAAGGCGGGCTTTCCACTTCTGAGGGGCCTATGAATCAACCACACCGAGAGGGGCCAGACACTCTGCCCTCTCGGATCTTGCTGAAATGTCCCCTTCTCAGGGGGATCCTTTCTAACTTCCCTATTTCATACCGCTACCCCCTCCCTGGCACACCCTCTGCACGCCCTGCCCTGTTACCATCCATCAGACTGCGGATTTCCCTAAGTGAACCTCTTTCCCACCCCACTAGAATGTAAGCACCCTGAGGGTAGGGATTTTTGTTTTACTCCCCAAGTGTCCATTTCCCAGAACAGGTACCGACACTTTGCCCTCAGCGTCTCACCCTCTGTGTGGGTCCCCACGTTAGCCCCCTGGGGGCCATGAACAGCAGAGGTGGGAGCACCTGCTCCCCCTGCTGGTGGCGCAGGCTTCTGCCCCCCACTCCCCAGTCCCCCTGGAGGGAGCCAGGCATAAGGCTAGGGGATGCGTGCCAAGCTCCCCCAAGGACGCCCTCACCACCCTGTCCCTGCAGTTGGCACCAGGCTCCTGCAGCTCTGTGAGCATGCAGCTGGGGCGCAAGGTGCTAGCCTCCTCTTCTCGGCAGTGTCCTCTGTCTCGTCTTAGGAGGATTCTCCTGGGGTCTCCAGTGCCTGGTTCTGGGGGCGGGGCCGGAGAGGGAGTGGTACCCATCCACCAACACTGCCCACCCTCACTCCCTCCTCCTCTTGACCACTCCATTTTCTTATATAAACAGCAAAGAGCAAGGAGTGGAGAGGCGGGGCACCTCCAGGATGCCCTGGGGAAGGTGTCTGGCCCCAGCCTTTTGTGATCCCTTTAGGAAGTGGGTTTCTTAGCATCTCTTTGGCCACAGCCGTGGGTCCCAGTAACCAATTCTGGGGCAACTGGTAATGTCTCCTCCGTGTCTCCTTGGTTGTTTATTGTAGATCTTCCCTTCCGGAACACGGGCCCAGAGACCCACAGCTTGATGTGACCAGTGCCTAGGAAAATGCCCGGCAAATTGCAGGCCCCTATCTTCCGAAAGAAATGACTCACTGGGAAGATGGCTGTGGTTACAGTGAGTTTGTGTTGAGAAGTGACAGGAGGGGGGGATGGGAAGGGTCCGAGGTGGTCGATACGTGGCCGATGCCCTTCACGTGTTATCTCACTTCTCACAGTGACCTCTAGGGGCAACCGAGCCATCACCTCCACTTCCTCCCGGCCAAGCTCAGGCAGACGCAGGGGGGCGGCGGCTGTGGGCCGGGCTCTGGCGTCCATGATTCTGACTCTGGTTCCTCATTTGTAAAAGTGGGACAGCGAGACTCCACGTTGTAAGGATTAAATTAGCTAATACGTGTAATGTGCTCAGCTCATGTAGAGACATGGCAGGTCATAAACAGGAACCAGAGTTAATTTCCATTATGACTGCTATCACTGGGACAGACCCAGAATCTGCCTACCGCCAAAGCCAGCACCCTGCACAGCACCCCCACTCCCACCAAGAGGGCGACTGAAAGAGGGTGATGACCCTCTGGGGCCCTGGAGCTGAAAGAAGCTGAGACCCCCGGGTGAGGGTGACAGTTAGAGGCAAGCTTCAATGCCAGACCTCGGCCCGCAGCCCTGATGTAAGGGGCAATGAGGAACTTCTATGGGTCTTTAATCAGGGGAGTGAAATGATGAAAGTGGTGTTTTAGGAAGATTAATCTGGCAGCAGAGACAGGATGGGAAACAGTCAAGCTCAGTGCAAAGAATTATGACTGCTTCCTGGCTTGCTGAGAGGAGGGTCATTAAAGGAAAGTGGCCTCGTTCTTGGCTCCCTGGGTGCCAAGCTCAGGGTTCCCGGCAGCTGGGAGGGGCTGGGTCTTTATCAAGAGGAGGCACCCAGGGCAGCCGGCAGAGGGCACTGCTTTTGCCAGGGACAGTAGCCATCACCAGGGAGCTCTGGCTGAGGAGCAAGGTGGACAGCGGGACAGGCAGCAAAGTCGAATCCGCTAGAATAAGGAGAGGGCCATCAGCCCCCTGGCCATGTGGCAGATTCCAAGCTGAGCACCTCAACTACGGCAAGTTGTGGGGTGGGCTCTCGCGGGGAGGTCCTTTGGGGAGGGCAGGACACCCACTGTCACAAGCACCAGCTCCCACCACTGGAGGCTGCTCTGGAAGCAGCAACCGAAGTGTAAAATGGCACCAGGGCTGCCCCGACCGAGAACGGAATGAGCTGCTGCTTCTCCGTTTCTCTCATTTTATTTAAAGCTGTCACGATAGATTGGAAGGGCCCACGCAACTCTGTCTCCTCGCATCTCCCGAGGAGACGGAGCCCGCGGCCAGGTTCCATCGTGGGGAATGGTCCAGCCAGCCCCTCACACCAGCGCCTGGAAAACCTCCAGCTTCTCCCGGTACAGGTGGTGAAACTGCTTGGCCAGGTAGTGGAAGGGGGCTTTGTAGTTTTCCATCTCCTTCTGGAGAGACAAATTGAAGAAGTCAGTTGCTTGGTTTTAGGACTGTCACAGAGAGCCGCTCTTCCCTCCTGCCAGGTGCTCCGCCCTCGGCCCCAACTTCTCCTTCCCACCACCCCCACCACTCAGGGCAGCTACTACCATTCCTCCCGTTTTACAAGAAGGAAACTGAGACGTGGAGAGGTTGAGGTCACGTGCCGAGAGCCACACACTTGCCCGTGATGGAGCTGGGTCTGAACCTAGACCTGTCCCTGTAGAGCCTGTCCTTTGAGCCACTCTCACTCTGTGTGTGACAGGATGTTAAAATGAGACTCTTTCTTGCTTAGTTTTGACTGAGGCCCCAAAGGTCAAAGCAAAACAACAGATGGCAAGGACCTCCACACTCTGGAGGGAGGACCAGTCAGGATGGAGGTCGGGGAGTGCTGTGGCATTTCCCCCAGGATGCGGGCGCTTCTCCCTCATCCTGAGGTCAGTAGGAGGGTCCCAAGAGGAAGCCTGAAGCCCGGGGACTTAGGCCAGGGCTGGACCCGGGCCTGGGAAGCATCAAGGTGAGGCTGGGGTTGGCTGTCTGGATGGCCAAGCAGGAGAGTGCAGACTGGGGATGGCCTGCAAACTGGGGCTGCAGCAACGCCTCCCTGGACCAGCGGTGGGCCCAGCGGAAGCCCAGCCTGGAGCTCTCTTAAAGGGACTCCGCGGGGACAGCCTCCAGGAGGGTGATGGGTCCCAACAAGAATGGACGGCCCGCGCGGAGCGGCTGGGCCCGTGAGCCGTGGCCGCTGAGCCTGCGCGTCCGGAGCCTGTGCTCCGCAAATGGGAGAGGCCACAACAGTGAGAGGCCCGCATAACGCAAGAAAAAAAAAAAAAAAAAAAAAAAGAATGGACGGCCCGGAACTGAGGTCGCAGGAAAGGTGAGGAGGTGTCCTAGCCCGAGGCGGTGTCACCTGTGAGGTGGAAGCCGCAGGTGAGAAAGCGCCCCTGATGGGCGCAGGGAGGGCATCTCTGACACCTGGCAAGTCCAGAGGGGCCACAGCAGGTCCCAACAGAAGTGAGCTGGTGGGGAAGCACAGGTCCAGAAACACAGATGCAGCAGCCTGGCCCTGCTTCCCACAGCAGGCTCAGGAGGCGAAGGTGACTTTACGAATTTTGACAGTCACCCAGGACTGGGCATTTTAATATGTGAAATAATGAATAATTTTGTGACTAAAGGTGACCAAAGGATTTTTTCATTATCTGAGAGAGATCAGCAAAGTTCTGGAACTTGCCCTAGGTTTTCTTCATCTGGTAGGAATAACCAGCCCTATAGGGTGAGCCTGACAGGCTGTGGGAGAAAGAAAATGGTGCCCTCTCCACTTAGCTGTCGTTTCTCACTCTCTACGTGTGCATCCACGGGTATTCTAAATGTTTTTAAAGAAATAAGTTGGCAGAAGAAAGCACCCACTACTTTCAAGACAGTAGCTCAAACTATGAATGCACAAGAACCTGTTTTCAAACAATCCGCGGCTGGTGGCAAAAGTGCAGCCTTGATAAGAGGTAAGGAAATATCCCCAACAAAACGGAAGGATTTCCAAACCAAAGGATGGAACGAAGTCATCAAGCTCAGTGCCTTTGTTTTATAGGCAGCAGTCTGGGTCCCAGGGGTGCAGTGGCCCAGCTGTTTTACGCAGAGCCCAGTCTAGAATTCAGATGCCCCAAATTTGAGAAGAGCAGCCTTTTCACTCTGCCAGCTGGGGTGACAGAAGTGCGCAAAAGGAAACCAGTTCCTGCAGAAAGTTACCGGACTTCCTGTCCCAAAGGTGGAGGAGACAAGTCACCAAGAGCAGAACCAGAGGTGGCAGTGCTGAGAGGGTGCTGAGAAATGACAGGACGGCTGGCGGCCCAGACGAGTGTCTGTACTCAATTCATGACTGCCAAGGACCGGAAGGCTGTCACTCTTCAGCAGGCCATAAGAAGAATAACTCAGTTATATTTGCAAGACACTTTTGACTGTACAGAGCATAATGTCCTAGGCTACGCCAAAGTCAAATAGCAAAACGCTACGTCAGTTGCAAGTATAGTTAAGCACTGAATGGGAAGAGAATGAGGCCTGCAAAGCTCATGCACAAGGATTTCTAACTGAATCTGAAAGCTCTTGAAAGCCAGATCTTCGGAGAACGCAACATAAAAAGTAGGGAATTCAATGGAGGCAAGTCTCTTTATACGCACGGAGTGCTCCTGAAATAGCAGATGTAAACAGAACCATTTTCCAAATGCATTAGGAGGGCTTGCTAATGATAGGAATCCTTTTGTTAAATGATGAGTCATAATCTTGCTGACATCGTTTGACAGCTGTAGAGTAGGTCTGCTCTGCGTGAAGAATCTTTAGAGCAGGCTCAGACTAGTGCTTAATCTGGCCTAGAATTCTGCCTCTGAGACTCCCAAAGTAGGCTCTGTGGGAGGCCAGGACCCCTTCTAGAAGGTTATCAAGCTGGACAGGCTGGCCTGTGTTCCAGTTCTGGTTCCACTGCTTGTTAGCTGGGCAACCAGGGAAAGCAACACAGTCTTTCTGAGTCTGTTTGTCATCAGTAAGATACGGATAGCAGCAGGACTGTTGGAAGCCTAAATAGATAATGTGTGCAAGACACTTAGCACACAGTAGGTGCTCAACAAACATCAGTTCCCTTCCCCTCACCTTCCTGCAAGGGAAGCCATCCCTATGGATCTTTCCTGAACTCGCTTTTATTTAATACTGTCCAACTTCTTGCAGTAATAAACAATGCATTTTAAACTTTTAACTGCTGTTTAAAGAAATGCTCTTAAACTTTTTGGTGTGAAAATGCCAAATATTGAGGGGTGTTAGAAAGTCAAAGAGAAACCACAAAGACCTCGAATAGCCAAAGTAATCCTGAAAGAGAACAAAGTTGGAGGCATCACATTTCCTGATTTCAAACCCTATTACAAAGCTATAATAATCAAAACAATACGGTCCTGGCATAAAAACAGACATGAAGACCAATGGAACAGAATTGAGAGCCCAGAAATAACTGCCCCACATATACGGTCATCTAATATTTGACAGTGGAGTCAGGAATACTCAATGGAGAAAAGATAATCTCTTCAATAAATGGTGCTGGGAAAACTGGATATTCACATGCAAAAGGATGAAACTGGATTCCTATTTTACACCTCCCAGAAATTAACTCAAAATGGATTAAACACTTGAACTTAAGACCTGAAACCAAAAAAACTCCTAGAAGAAAACATTGGGAGAAAGATCCCTGTCAGTGGTTTTGGCAATAATTTTATGAATATGACAACAAAAGCACAAGCAACAAAAGCATAAATCAATAAGCGGGATTACACCAACCAGAAAGCTTCTGCACAGCAAAGGAAGCCATCAACAAAATGAAAAGGCAACCTGCAGAATGAGAGAAAATATTTGCAAACCACACATCTGATAAGGGGTTGATATCCAAAACATACAAGGAATTTGTGCAACTCAACAGCAAAAACACAAATACTCTGATTAAAAAATGGGCAAAGGACGAATAACAGATATTTTTACAAAGAAGATATTCGAACGGCCAACAAGTGCATGAAAAGGTACTCATAATTATTAACCGTCAGGGAAATGCAAATCAACCACAATGAGATATCACCTCACACCTGTGAGGATGGCTATCATCAAAAAGACAAGAGGTAAGTGTTGGTAAGGATGTGGAGAAAAGGGAACACTTGTGCACTGTTGGTGGGTATGAAAATTGGTGCAGCCACTACGGAAAACAGTACGGAGGTTCCTCAAAAATTAAAAATAGAGCTGCCATATGATCCAGCAATCCCACTTCTGAGTATGTAACCAAAGAAAACGAAATCACTTCCTTGGAGAGATAGCTGCATCCCCATCTTCACTGCCAAGAGAATAGTCATGACAGTAGTCACGACGTGGAAACAACCTAAGTGTACACTGATGAATGAATGGATAAAGACAATGTGGTACACACACACACACACACACACACATGAATACTATTCAGCCATGAAAAAGATGGAAATCCTGCCACTTGTGACAATGTGGATGAACGCTGACGGTATTATGTTAAGTGAAATAAGCCAGCCGAGAAAGATAAATATTGTTATGTTCTCACTTATGTCTGGTATCTAACAAAAAACAAACACAGAAACAGAGAGTAGACTGGTGGTTGCCAGGGGCGGTAGGGACGGGGGTGGGAGAAACGGGTGAAAGTGGTCAAAGGGTACAAAACCTCCAGTTTTAAAATGAGTATGTTCTGGGGACGGAATTATAAAGAAAAAAGAAAGTCAAATGGCCATGTAGGTATCTCCTTTAGGTCTGCAGGACAATTATGGCTGCATTTAGAAAGAGAGGAGGAGATGGGCTTGGTGTCAGGACTTGGCTGCGTCTCAAATGGCATTTGGTTATATCTCCGTTTTAATTACAGCTTTCTTAACCAAGCTGCCGGTGGTGCTTTTGTTGGCATCAACTCGGGGCGGGGTGGGGGGACTAGTTAACTTGCACAGTTAATACCAAGTGCTTAACTGCAGCCTCGTCAGACATCATTTACACCCTCCCGTTTCAATCGTGTAGTGGCAAACAGCTGACCAGAGTTTAAACATGCAGCCCAGTGCCCTCTGGTGATGGAAGTGTTGGGAGTGGGTGTTAATTTCTGAGTTCCGTCAGGAGTTCCAGGGAACGTGGGATATTGGGGTAAGGAGGCAACTTCATAAATGTGAATGGAGGAGGAGGGAATAGGAAGATACTGTTTGCTGGGGGGGGTGCAGCTTACTGCTTTGCTCAAAGGCGTCCTGCATAAGAGATGGGCAACCCTCTATACTGTAAAAGCCTGCTAATTGGAACTTCACTAATTTAGCATTTGTGATCATTGGACCAGAGGCAAAACTGACATTTATCTCTGCACAATCTAGGAATACAAGGATTTAGTGAGTAATAATAGCAGAAATGAGATTACTAGAGGGAACATTTATATTTAAAAAAGCTAACATTGACTGAGCGTTTACTATGCCTCAGACTTCGTGCTAAGTGCTTTTATATTCACCATCTGACTTAATTCTCATATTTATTACTCAATGAGGGATATATTTTACTATCCCCACTTTATAGGTGAGGAACCTGAGGCACCAACAGGGTAAGTAACACACCGAGCGGCCCACAGCTAGTCCTGCTATTCAGCATCGGAGGTCGGAGCACCTGCCTGCACTCGCTACTTTCCCTAAGGAAGCACGCCACTTTGAGGGGGTTTAAGAAATTCACATCCGTACAGCAAATGAATAGCAGCATTTGCCAAATTTCATAGATGCAACAACAAGAGTGCCTGTAGCTTAAGGAGAGTTTGAGTAGAAAACGACCTCAGGGCTATTTATTAACTAGCCCACTGACTCTTGGAAGACCAAGGAATCAGTCGGGGCCGGAGGCCACAAGGCCAGGAATGAAGTCCAAGTTACCACCATGGATGTTTCAGGCTGTGCCAGACATGGCAAGTCTCCCCAGCAACCCCAGGAAGGGGCACTGCAGCTGGCACCTTGGTCCCTGCTGGCTCTGAAGTGGGTGTTTCTGGGCGGCTCCCACAGCGGGGTGTCTTCTCTTGACCCCCTTCCATAGTAGCACACAAGTGTTTCTGATTGGTGTAGCCTGGGTCACGTGCCTGCACCCTGGCTGCAGGGAGGCTGGGACCTCAGAACTCCCCACGTAGGAGGGCGCTTCCCACAATACTGTGAACATGCCCAAATCATGATTATCGGGTACTGAAGGGGACGGGAACAAATCCCTCTGACTGTCCCCCTTCCCAAGGGCTCTTGCTGAATATACCAGAGGACACTCTACGGCCTGGTGTCACCCTGGGGCTGCGGCACGGTGGGGGCAGGGAGCACGGGAACCAGAAGTCAGGGATCCTAGTCCTGGCTCAACCCTTCATGAGTCAACAGGACTCGCTCAACCCTTCGTGAGTCAACGTGACTCGCTCAACCCTTCGTGAGTCAACGTGACTCGCTCAACCCTTCGTGAGTCAACGTGACTCGCTCAACCCTTCGTAAGTCAACGTGACTCACGGCAGTCACTTCACCCCAACACAAAGTGGGGAATGGGGGCCAGCTCCTGGATCATGGGGCTGATTTTGAGAGTCTATGAAATAATGTGCCAACAACACTGTAACCCAAGATGTCTCATGCCAACATCAAGTGTCACTGTAACTGAACACAATACACTTGTGTTTCTTAACTAATTGAGATGCAGCTTTTCCCAGGGCTGGCTGGCTGGCTGATCTGCTTGTTTGTAACACACGAGTGACTCTTGCTATATTGAGAAGAGATCTTGGGCTAAGGGTGTAAACATCAGCTCCAAATTAGGCTCTGCATATGGTGGGCTAACAACTCGATGCATGTGAGGTCATGTGAGAAACCGCTTCCAGCCGAGGTCTGCTCCAGACTTGGCTACGGTGCAGGCGGAAATACTTACCACGGATGTTTCAAAACATTCCAGGCCTTGGCCCAGTGCCCATGCCCGGGTCTGGGCCGACTCCACCACTCGCCTGCTGGCCAGGTCTGTCTTGTTCCCCACCAGTACACCTACTCGAGAGAAACAATCGGAGCATCGCATTTAACCGTGGCCGTCTGGGAGGACAGCTGGAGAGATAAAAGAGCAAGCAGCCTAATTTTGAGGTGTGTAAAACCTCATCTGACAGAGGCTCCCTGATCCGAGGTGATGAGCACGACCGGAGACCCCGCACCGGCCCCCGAGGGCCGCAGCAGAGCGGGAGGCCGGCGCTTTGCACCTGCAGCTTTCGCTCAGCCCCTCTGCTAGACCTCCTGGGTACCTGTCCGCCTCCTCTCCCTAAGGCTGCAAACCGTGAAGGCAAGGACCAAACTGATGTGAGCATTTGCGATCATTTCTAGCACATGGAGCAAACTTTCAAAACGGTCATTAACACTAATCTGAGGGCTGGGCTCAGAGTCAGGCATTCAGAGGTAATTTGGTTCTGTTGCCAGCTGCATCCGCTGCGGCTAATTTTTGAGCCTGTCTCTGGAGATCGCTTTCCCTGGTCTCTAATGAGGAGAATTTGTTGATCTCACATAGGGATGAAAAATAAACTGATTGAGAGCATTCAGAAGTGAAAACGGGCCTTGCATGTTTACTGGTGCCCCACATACAGGAGAAAATGAGGACTGCTTCCCTGGGGTTAGCTTTCCAGAAATAACAACTCATATTCCTTCCCCCTTATTATCTTGAGTCACCCCATAACCCTGCCGGGGGGGCGCCAGCAGGCCCATTTTACAGACTCACAGAGGTGGGGCAACTCACTGAGGTTTCCGTGGTTGCTGAGGCAGAGCCAGGGTATGGTCTAGACCATCACACTCAAAGACCAGGGCACCCTTTTTCTGCACCCACAGCCACTTCTGCAGTGACCTCGTGCTCTTGAACTTGAAGGTCAGAGGTGCTGCTGGAAACCCCGGATGCCTGCAGCTCGTACCTGGGAGGGTGGCGCCTGGCATCTGTGACCGAGCCTTCTCCAGCCACTTGCTGCAGTTGATGAAGGACTGCTCGTTGGTCACGTCGTAGACGAGACACAAGACGTTGGGACTCTCCCACTGTGCAAGGGCGACAGGATAGGGACACGTCACTGACAGCGAAAGTGACTTCTAGACTGGGAGGAAATGTGGCCTTCTAAGGGAAGGGACACGTGGGCAGAGGGAAGTGAAAAATTCTAAAGAGGATGTGAATCAGAAAACCAAGCCACATCCACAGAAGAAAACGATTCGCCCACAGGAATGAATGGGAGGGCTGGGCGAGGTGGCGGGGAAGGCCTAGGTCTGGGATGGCGATGGCGAGGGCGAGAGCTCGCATCTGTGCCAGGCTCTCTGCTGGGCGTTTTCTGTGTATCATCGTGAAACCTCCCAACTTTGCAGGGCTGGTCGGAAGATCCCTACTGTGTAGCTGAAGAAACTGAGTTCAGAGAGGGTAAGTGACTTGCCCAGGTCACACAGGCTTTAAACACCAGGGTGGGGCTGAGGCTTCTCTACCCAGAAGCGCTTTGCCTGCCCCGGTCCCATTAACCCATTCTTCTACTCATATTCTCATCGAGGGCCCACTATTATGCAAGGCGATATGCTTTTCTGCTTTGCAGGCCCGCAAAAGCATCCTGTTTTCATCAGCCACTCACTGGAAGCTGGTTTGCTTACATTTTCCTAATAAAGGCCGGCTTTTCAAAAGGCAAAGGGCTCCTCCTGCAGTGTATCAGCCCTAATCCAAACCTGACCAGCAACTGGACAGGGTTCGCTGTCCCAATTAAGAACCAGTGCTATGCTCTCAGGGGCTGGCGCCTTCAGGGGCTGCTCAGACTCCTGGGCCATCCTGCTGCCTGGCACGGGGCCGCGGGGCAGCCCTGTTTAGGCTGTGAGGCTAGTCCTGGTGCGTGTGACTCTTGGCGATGCCCCGGTCTCTGAGGACCCCCATCCTGCACAATTAGAGCCTGGTTCACCTCTGCGGTGTTGTCACCTCCCAGGGTGTGAGGGAGAATCCTTTTCCCTCCAGCTGTCCTCGGAAGGCCAGCCCAGAAATGGCTCTGGAGGCCTCACCCTCCTGCCCCTGAGGCAACACTGGCTCCCCTCCTGCAGGTGCCCAGGATGGGAGGAGCTTGGACTAAACCGATGATCCCTTCACAGCTTCACTCCTCAGACTACAGAGCTCTAGCTAGAGTCACACTGATCACCCCTGTGCACATGCAGGAGAGACCTCCTTCCTCCAGGCCCCAGTGAGGGCACCCAGCATGGGTAGCGTGTGACCCTGACTTGTCCAGACACATCATCTCCTCCGCTGGGCAGCGCCGGACAGTGTACAAGGGAGCCGCGTGGGAAAACACCAAGAACTGATGTGTGAGGCCAGCCCTGTGTGAAATTACCATCATTAGATCTATTTCTCTTAGGCGAAAAAAGAGGGTGGCAGCAAACAGTTTCTATTAAAATGTAGCTGTTCTTGGAAAGGCAGGGGAGGGCTCTGGAGAGCTCAAACCTCCTAAGTAGCTCACTGGCCCACATTAGCGGAACCGTTACCTTGGAAGGTACAGCAAGCTGGATCCTAAGAGGAAGGCTGGGCGGGCTGGATGAGCCTGGGGCAGCAGCAGGGGCAGGTCTCAGAGCAATCCTAGGTCGGACCAGGGGGTGGGCTGGGAAGGTAGGGGCCTCTAGGGCACCCCCTAGCGGGGAAGGAAATCTTTGCTCCAGACCCAGGAGGTGGAGGAGGGCTGAAAGAACACCCCCAGGAGGGGGATGCTCCAGAGAAGGGAGGCCCCGGAGTGGGGGGCTGCGAGGACCGAGGTGTACGGCTCTGGTGCATTGGGAGCCAGCCATTCCAGGGCCGGGGGGAAGCAATCACGAATCACATGCAAGAGCTGCTCCTACCTGCCAAGGGGCCACCAACCCCAAGGCTGGGAGGAACGCCCCTTACAGGATGTTGCCATGGTAGCTTCTCCTGGTGTCTGTAGTGAAGTGAAATTTCTGTGAGGGCACTGTTAAGGGGCAAACCTTTGGCGGGAGGTGGTGGTGATAGGAAAAAGACTGAATGCTACTTGCCAATTTATCCAGCATTTCAGAAAACAGCTCCTTGCCGGCCGAGTCAAGAATGAAGAGTTCCTGGAATCAGAAAGACAGGTCCCAGGAAAGCCTACACATGGGGAAACCCCTGGCTGCAAATCCCCGATAGGACTCCCAGCGCACCTTCAGGGTGACATACGCATGCGCACGTGCACTCACATTTGTCTTTTGTCCAAGGCACGAGGAAGACGGTGGGAGGAGGAACGAGCTCAAGTACAATGGTTTCCCACCCCAACTGGCTCTTTCTGGGCGGCATCTCACCTCTCCTAACCCCGAGTGCAAAAATACCAGGAACAAGCTGACTTCCCACCTGGCAGAACAGAATGCTAGACAGGCTGACAAGTGCTCTGTTTTCCAAAAGGTCATTCTGCACTTTGTTAACGAAATTGATTTTCAAATCTTAAAACGATCCTTTTTAAAGGAGGTCACCAAGGAGGCCTGGGGAAGGCATTTAAAGTAGGACAGTCTGTCATGGTTCTGGATGGCTGAGGTGTGATTCTAGCAGAGGGCGCAGGATGACCCTTCCTGCCCGTGTCCGAACCTTCACCGGCCCAGGTGAGAGCCCCTCCCCAATGCTACCATTCCAGGAAGTCTCCCCTAATTTCCCCGTTAATTTCCTGCTGGCTCTGGCCTCTGGCACACGCTGTCTGAAGGTCAGCGACCTCCTCTGCTTTGCACATTGGTTGTCGGTGCATTCATCTTATCCCTTCTCACTGTATCCGGGGTACTTAAAATTGCTTTTTGCTCATGGACCTCTTTAAGAATCTAGCAATTCTTCAGGCTTCTCTCCAGAAAAGCACATGCAAACCTAGCATCTTGCAATTCAATTTCAAGGGTCGAGGCTTCCCACAGAGGGACCCAGGTTAGGAACCTCAGTACTCGGTAAGTTCTGAGGGTGAGACCCAGAGCCCAGACTTCCTCACTTCTTCCTCATCCCTTCCATACGATGCTTCCCGTGTTCCCCCCAGCCTGTTCCTGAATGCTCAGACAAGCCTAGGCCAAGTCCTGGCACTTTTAGGTAGCCAGTCAGACATGAGTGGGTCTCGCCCCATCCTGGACGGGGTCATCTTTCCCTCCCCAACCTGGACACTAGTGATCAGAACCCACCCAGAGATCCTCCCTCTTCTAGTCAAGGACCACCAGCCTTATCAGGACCAAGCAAGATAAACCTACCAGCACAGGTCGGTGCAGGTGCACCAAGACCTAAAAGGTGCCTCAAGGTAACCTGGGGTTCATTATGCCGTATTTGTAATACATTAGCATTGTGGTTTTGGTGCTCGTGCGCAAGCGCCTGTGCACTAGGAGAAAAGTTACGGGACCTAAAGCTGTCAATCAACTTGTCAGTCAAATGACGCAGGACACAGGGAGGGACCACCACTCTAAAAAGCCCAACCCTACCCCACTGCGGGCTGCTTCTGGTTTCCAGACAGCCCACTCTCATTCTTTCTTGGGAGTGTACTCTTGCTCTGCTTAATAAAACTCTTAGTACTTAAAACCATTCTATGTCTCTCGACTGAAATCTTTCCCTTGTGAAGGCAAGAACTGAGGAAATTGCTGTCCCCCTGGTGACAGCACTGCCTCGCTCCGTGACCACAGAGCCCTCGGGCACAGCTGGGGCAGCACTGAGCCCCCTTGGGGCGAGGGCACCACTCACCACACTGTCCCCTGTGTCAGGGACTGGCACCGTCTTCACCACCAGATCCACCCCTGTTGTCTGTGGAGGAAAAGGGAGAACACGCACATTAGGGGTCCCAAGGGGACGCATGTCTCCGGCTCAAGTGTCTGTGCTCTGGACTCACTCCTGGTGTGGAAGTCAGAGAGGCCCTAGTCTCATCCAACCCCCTGCCCACGAGTGAGCTGTTACACGGTGACCAGCCAACCACCGGCCAGTCTGCTCCACACACTGCCCCGTGCCCCGTGGCTTGTGGCCATACGGTCAGGCCTCTTAGGGCTTCTTAAGGACATTTGGAAAGTCACTGCCCCAGGGTTATCTGATCACTTGTCTTTAAGCCTCCGCCAGGCCTATGATGCCCACATCTCACCAGGGTGTAGTTCTTCTGGAAATGGGCTCCGTCGCTGCGGAAGATCTGGGCCAGGGCGGTCTTGCCCACGGTTGGGTCTCCTGTGAGGTCAGAGTAGAAGAAAAACACCGCTTTCATCCCAAGCTGACTAGAGGCTCTCCCATTCCAGAACGCTGGTCTAGAAACCGAAAGCCTCAATGATTTCTCAGGGAAAAGGTACTTGATTCTCATGGGAACTTGCTCCGGGGTCGCTGGCAGGGCAGCGGGTCCGTGAGACCGATCTTCCAAACCCATGATGGCCAGTTTCTTTTCTTCCGGGCTAATCCTTTCATCTACAAAAACCCACCCAGAAGGTAACAGAGCTGAAGGAGGGCTTCTGAGCACTGGAAATAGAACTGACACTCTTCCACTGAAACACACCCGACGGGGAAAACCCGTCCCTTTCAACCCTGAAATTACTTTGAAGTCTTGAAGGTAAGGAAGTGTGACCAGGTACAGACTTACAGGTTCAGCTCTCTAATGGAACCACTTTGAGTTTAGAGCGTCCATCCTGAGAATCCTGCGTACTTTTCTGGGGTGCGGGGGAGAGGGTGAGAGTTGGGTTTCTACAGAGAGTTTCTACATTTAGGAGAAACAAAACGTCAGGGGCTACATTTGCCATCCTGAAGCCCATTTCCAAGTGACATTTTCCACCTCCACCTCCTGGTAACCCATCTGCGACCACTGCGGGCCCATCTTCCCAGGGCCTCTCCTCTAAGTCTATCGGCAACAGCCACTGGTTCCTCTAAGCCCGTCTCATACCTACCGGCTCCATCTCCTCGGCTTTCCTTTGTTAGTGGAGAGCCCCATAAACTGGTACCTAGAAACTAAAGATCTGTGTCACAGTTTCAAGTCTGAGACCTGGACCTTTCACAAGGTGGTCAGGGGCAATTTATTCTGGAGTTCCTCCCGGGCCCCCAAGGGTGCTGGAGGCTCTCCGTGCCCATCCTTAATTCTCCTGCACCCTCCCCACGTCCCCACCGGTGGCTCTGCGGGGCTTCCTTTGATACCACACTGTGTTCATCTGCAAGACCTTTTCCACCTTGAGAGTCTCACACTGATTCTCCCTCCATCAACCAGAGCCCTGGCAGAACACCTGTCTGCTGCTTTCTCACCCCCATGATCCTCAGCAAAATCACCACGCTCGCATCTTTCTGCCTTGCATCCCTTGATGCAATCGTCTCACCTTCACCCCGTTTTACAGGCGGCTTCAACTCGCCTCTTTACTTGACTCCTTGATAGCCTGCCTCCCTGTTCACTTTTCAGTTTTGACTTTTCTCACCTATAATTTTCTCTTGTGAGACAATTATTTGCCTACTCGTGGCATTTCATTTCACGTTAACTCCTCCAGGACTGAGTGAGCTAGTCAAGTCTTGCTTTTCTCTTTGCCACCATTTCTTAGAAGGGAACCAACACGGGTTGAGCCTCTGTCATGGACCCATTCATACAATCTCATTTGCTCCTTCCCAGCCCCCAGGCCCCAGCCTCCACCGCCCCCCCCCC